CGCTTGTAAATAATTTCTTGTATGGTTTTCTTGTATAGTTAGAATTTCTTAGCTACACATGGATAGAATTTCTTGTATAGAATTTCGTAATATACTTAAAATTTCTTGTTTAGTTTTCTCACAAATCAACATAAAATTGTTCAATACCACTGCTGCTTTAAGATGATCTGTTCGGGAAACGAGTTCTCGTACATTGAACTAATGGTACAATGAATAATATATATACATAAAAAATATTTATTGAAAATAATAATAACAATAATTCCATAAATTAATATGTTATTAATTAATGTATAAATTAACAATTATTAATTCGTCGTAAGTTAATATTTTGCTAAATTCCCGAAATGTATTAATTTTTAGAGGTTTAACTGTATAACAATATGATCTATCCGAAAACCACCCTGGGTGCCCGGTAGTCCGATTGGAAGTGTTCGGCTTCTGCGTGGGCTACCGACCTGTTGACCTATATCCACAAAAAGGGGCTAACCGGACTAACGCCGGGGTTAGCACTCCGACGGTCAAGTCAGTGATCGGGCACAATGGTTTGGAAAGGTATATAATATAGGTATTGATTTTGGATTCTTACTTGCCCTTGCCTGTTAAGTGTGGGCAATTATTTATAGCACCCCAACCTGGTGTTCCCGGGAAAACCGGGTAGACTACCGAGGTGGCTGCTTTTCCCCTTCCTCGGGCGGCGTCGGACATCATTTCATCGGGGAGGCTAGAGCGGCTCCCTTACGTACCATACGGGCTAGCTTTAATGGGGGGCTTTTCCCTAACGGCGGATCTTTTAGTCATTCAAACATTAAATGCGATTTGACAGGGCCATTAATGCGCCGGAGCCAGCCTACTGAGAGACTGTCAGTTGTCATTAATGTGGTCTTTTCCATCGCCGCTTAAAAGGACCTCGAAAGGGTCCCACGAGTCCTTCGGGAGCTAATCCCCTCGGGGGGTCAAAGCTCTGGAGGAGAAGAATGGGCCTTGACCCATCCTTTATTGGGCCCAACGGTAAGAGGGCCCACAAGATATTCTGATTTGGGCTAAGAAATTCCTTCTTGGGCCTTAGGGATTTCCGTTCCGGATCAACTAGTCCCCCACTCCGAGCTTCCTACGACTGGAGAGGGAGACTTGGGGGGTCGGAGTGTTTAAACTTCTGGCCACGTGGCCCATCCTCAACCTTGTTTGACGACTTTTCGGGTTTTACCTAGGGAACCGTGATTCTCACTAAAGGGCCCTTCGTCTTCTGCGTTCATTTAAGAGTGGTTTTGGTATTTCAAAACAAAGTCGTTTGCCCTTTCCCTCCTTGCCTATCCTACTTCCCTTATTTCTTTTCTACTTCGTCTTCCACATTCTGACGCTCCTTCCCTCATTGACAGGTACTCCCTCTCTTTCCTTTTTCTTGATTTTTGTTTTGCGAAAATAAATCGGCTGCTTATGGTTTCCCGGAGCACCTCCTCCTCTTCGTCGGAGAGGACAGCCTCCCTTCCCTTGCTGGGACCAGCTCCGACAGCTCGGGGGCGGCGCCGTCCTTTAAAGAAAAAGGTCTCGGGCTCCTCTCCCTCCCGGAGAGGAACCTCGAGGGCGAGAGCCGCTCCGAAGGGAAAGGCTACCCATTCTCTAGTGGACTCTCTGGACCTGGACATTCTTCGCTCCTGTCAGGGTCTGGATCCTTCCTTCGAGCTTCTTCTCCCTACTCCCTCTCAATTGCCTTCTCACCCTCCGCCTGGATACCTTACTTGGTACCTAGATCAATTTAGGGCAGGTCTAACCCTTCCCCTCCACCCCTTTTACATTGGGGTTAGCCAAGTTTATCGAATCCCTTTGCACTATTTTCACCCAAATGCCATAAAGTTCATGTCTTGCTTCTATATAGTGTGCGTCAGTCACGGCATAGACCCTAGGCCGGATTTCTTTTTTCAGCTTTTACCCACAATAAATCCGCCTCGGGTTACTTTCACCTTTCTACTCGCATTCCCGAGCGTCTTTTTAGTGGGATGGTTACAAAAATAGACTCCTGGCAGCGACGGTTCTTCTTCATTCGCTCGCCCTCGCCTTGGCCCTTCGATCCCACTCCTCTCTCCAAGTCTCCCAAACGGGCTAAAACTGACTACAGCTATGAGAGCGAGACAGCCTCCTTGCTTGCCCTTGCTCAACCGCGTTCTTGGAACGTTGAGAAGATAGTGAACAACCCCTCCCTTTTCTCTCGCGCCCATCTTTGGCGGACTCCCTCCTCTGACCCTCGCCCCTGGGGTATACTCATTCTGTTTAATCCCTTTTTCCTTTTATGCTTCTCCTACTGACTCTTGAGAAAATATCCTTGCAGGTGAGATGATGCTAGACATGCTCATGGAGATGGCAGAGGCCGAGAAGAAAAGCCTGGCCGCCCCCTCTGGCCCTTCTACTGGGGTCGGCGCCGCTGGCGAACCTTCTCGGGGGGCTCAAGCCCCCTCCCTTAGCTCCAGCTCACCGAGTCCTCGTCCTTCCCCTCCCGCTGAGCCCTCAACAAGTCCTCGACTAGTGATCGACATACTTGGAAGCGAGACGGAGGGCAACACAGTCGCCGCGCTGCCTAGCTCGAGCCACGGACTGGCCGAGGCCCAGGGTGAGTCAGTTGGGGTGAGTTCCAAGCGTCCCCTCGTGAGCGATTTCTCTCCTCCCGCAAAGAGGTCTTGCTCAGAGTTTCCCTGCTTATTCGCCGTTCAGGACCCGACCGCCGCGGTCGATTCCGTGCTCCTCCAACTAGCCCAGGGGCAGAGTTCTGCAGATGCCATGTATCTCCGTGGTCTTCCCCACTCTTCGAAGCGCGCTCAATTGGCCCTGTGTTTGGCCCAGGTACTTTAACCTGCTTTTTCCTCTTTCTTTTGTTTTTATCTTTAGTGCGTATACTTTTGACATTATTCTCCCTCCTACTTCCTAGGCGAGCTCGATCATGGCCTTCGGCTTTGGCGACGAAGATCCCTCGGCCCAACGTCAAATCAACCGTGAGCTCAGCGACCAACTGGCTCATGCTCGTGCCGAGAGTGAAAGGACCTCAGCCCGTCTTCATGCTTTGATGACCGAGAATGGGGCTGTGGTTAAACAGTGCGAAGACCTCTCGGAGAAACTTGCTGATGCTATGGCCAAGTATAATGAAATAAAGAGTGTGCTAGAGGGTCGGTTGGCTCGTGCTTGTGAGGAGCGTGATCGGGTTTTAGAGCAGCTTGAGGCTTTGACTCGCGAGAGTCGGGTCGAGATGGAGCGGTGCCTTACTGAAGAACGAAACAAATCCCTGGGAGAGACCTTGTCTACGGTCGAGGGACTAGCTGTGCTAGACCGATATCGAGCCCTTCTCATCGATCGATATCCCCATACCAAACTCTTCCTCAGTCAAGCCTGTCCCATCGGGATGCACTACGTGAAGGAGACCATCCGGGCTTGTGAGATTCTTTCTGGGGAGCAGGGGGTGTCTGTTGACTTTCCTCCCACATTGGTTCTGAGCAAGATGCGCCGTGAGCTTCCCCTTTGGAAGGGCAACCCGCAAGAGCTCATCGGTGATCCTTGGTGGGAGCCCCTCACCAAGCAGTTGCTTGCCTCTTTGGGGCCCTCTTTTGCCGAGGGTTCTTCTCGCGTGCCTGCTCCTGCTTCATCAGTGGCTGCTAGTCAGGCTCCCCTTGGTGCGCCCGTAGCCTTGGCTGCTCAAGAGGTTCTTTCCAGCCTTATTCCTCTGCCTGCTGCCTCTGCGCCCGCGGGTCCGCCAACCTCAGCAACTGCTCCCGATCCTCGTGCCTCCTCTGCCCAATCTTAGATTCTTGCTAGAATTCTTATGATAAGACTTTGTTTTGTTTTTCCAGTTTTAAGACATGCTTGTTTTGCTTTTTCGGTTATCCGCATCTGTCTTTTGAATGCTTCTATATTATTTTCCCAATGTTTATCCTACCAATTTTAGGTTTTTTGTCTATAAGAACTCTCAGTGACCTCTTTGCAATTTTCATGTTGTTATATATTATTTATTATTATTTAATTTTTGGAAATACGAATTTCCAAGGGCTAAGGTCTCGCCCCGGAGCTCGAGCTCGGGGATCAAAGCACTCGGTTGCCAGCGAGCTCGAGCTCAGCTGATCCACCTTAACCCTTGGGAAAAATTTTTGACAAAAATTTCCAAGGGCCAAGGTCTCGCCCCGGAGCTCGAGCTCGGGGATCAAAGCACTCGGTTGCCAGCGAGCTCGAGCTCAGCTGATCCACCCTAACCCTTGGGAAAAATTTTTGACAAAAATTTCCAAGGGCCAAGGTCTCGCCCCGGAGCTCGAGCTCGGGGATCAAAGCACTCGGTTGCCAGCGAGCTCGAGCTCAGCTGATCCACCCTAACCCTTGGAAAAAAATTTTTGACAAAAATTTTTCAAGGGCCAAGGTCTCGCCCCGGAGCTCGAGCTCGGGGATCAAAGCACTCGGTTGCCAGCGAGCTCGAGCTCAGCTGATCCACCCTAACCCTTGGAAAAAAATTTTTGACAAAAATTTCCAAGGGCTAAGGTCTCGCCCCGGAGCTCGAGCTCGGGGATCAAAGCACTCGGTTGCCAGCGAGCTCGAGCTCAGCTGATCCACCCTAACCCTTGGGAAAAAAATTTTTGACAAAAATTTCCAAGGGCTAAGGTCTCGCCCCGGAGCTCGAGCTCGGGGATCAAAGCACTCGGTTGCCAGCGAGCTCGAGCTCAGCTGATCCACCCTAACCCTTGGAAAAAAAATTTTTGACAAAAATTTCCAAGGGCCAAGGTCTCGCCCCGGAGCTCGAGCTCGGGGATCAAAGCACTCGGTTGCCAGCGAGCTCGAGCTCAGCTGATCCACCGTAACCCTTAGGAGAATTCCTATAAAAAGAAATTTACTCTCCTACGTTCGATAAGCTGTCACAAAACATCTTCTTCATTTACTACTACAAAATACATGGATGTCGGCGTTGACAGGCGACTACAAAAAACATTTCACAAAACACCTTCTTCATTTCTCCGAAATATTCATCTTAAGTTTTATGTGAAGAACTTCTTCAGGTGACGTATGTTCCACGGCCGGGGTAACTTTTTTCCCTCCGCATCTGCCAGCTCGTATGCCCCTCCTTTGAGTGCTTTCTTGACAATGTAAGGGCCCTCCCAGTTGGGGCCCATTTTTCCCACCGCTTTCAAGGCATCCGCTTGTTTCAACACCATGTCACCTACCTGGAACTGTCTCGTTTTTACTTTTCTGTCATATGCGTTTTTCATCCTGGCCTTGCTTGCTTCCATTTTGATCGCCGCTTGCTCTCTCTTCTCTATGATCAAGTCCAAGTCCCCTCTTATTTCGTCGTTGTTTCTCCTCTCGTGGAAACTTAGTATACGGCTCGAAGGCATGCCTACTTCTAATGTTATTACTGCTTCAGTACCATGTACTAGTGCGAACGGTGTTTCCCCCGTGGCCTCCTTTGGAGATGTCCTGTAAGACCATAGGACCGAGTGGAGTTCCTCCACCCAACTGCCTTTCGCCTTTTCCAAACGTTTCTTTATTCCTTCCATCAGCGTTCTGTTTGTTACCTCAACTTGGCCATTGGCCTGTGGGTGTGCAACCGCTGCGAACCTTTGCTTGATTCCCATTCCCTCGCACCACTTGCTTATTTTTGCCGAATTAAACTGCGTCCCGTTATCCGACACCAGGTTCCTAGGTATTCCATACCTACAACAAATGTTCTTCCATATGAATTTCATCACTTCTGTATCTGTGATTCTGGCGAGTGCTTCCGCCTCTACCCACTTGGAGAAATAATCGATGGCTACTATCAGAAATTTTCGTTGGCCCGAGGCCATAGGCAGAGGGCCGACCAAATCTATTCCCCATTGCGCGAATGGGCACGGTGCGTCTATGATCGTCATATCTGCTCCCGGGACGTGTATGCGAGGGCCATATTTCTGGCATTTCTCGCAACTTCTGACCATTCGAAATGCATCCTTCCTCATCGTGGGCCAAAAGTAGCCCGCCCTCAGCAATCGTAATGCTATCGCCCTTCCGCCCGCGTGGTCTCCGCAACACCCTTCGTGTACCTCACGGATAGCATGAGAGGCCTCTGCCTCCCCCAAACAACGGAGGTGTGGTCTCGTGAACCCTCGCTTGTATAGGACACCCCCGTCTAGGCAAAAGTACCGGGCCTTGGCCTCCATTTTGGCTTGCTCTCGGCGGTCCGGGATCACTCCACCTTGTAGACATTGCACGATTTTGGCTCGCCAATCGACCGTCGCGCTCGTGCTAAACAGCTCCTGTGGTTTCTTAGGTAATCCTGTCAAAATGGTTATGTTCCTAGAGGAGCACTCTGCGGATAGGCTCCCTATCCTTGCCAAGAAATCTGCCCTTTCATTCTCTTCCCTAGGGATTTGTTCGAGAATTGCCCGTCGAAAATTACTCATCAGGGCCTTCGCTCTAGCCCTGTATCCTTCCATCCTCTCGTCCCTCGTCTCGAATGTTCCGCTGACCTGCTGTACCACCAATTGGGAGTCCGAGTATATTTCCACCATATCAGCTCCTACCTCAGCGGCTATCTGAAGTGCATGTATCAAGGCCTCGTATTCGGCTTCGTTGTTAGAAGCCTTAAATGTCAGTTTGATAGCGTACTCGTATTCTTCCTTCTCGGGACTTATTATAACCACGCCGGCCCCGCTCCCGGCCGGACTTGACGATCCGTCAATATATATCTTCCACACTTGCTCTTCCTCACTTCGTGTGGTTTCCTGTAAGAAGTCCGCTAAAGCCTGAGCCTTGATGGAGATTCTCGGCTCGTACTCTATATCAAATTGCCCTAACTCAACGGCCCATTTGACCATTCTTCCTGAAACATCTATTTTCCCCAAAGTTGCTTTGAGGGGGAAATTGGTCCTGACGACAATTGAGTGAGAGAGGAAGTATGGTCTTAGCTTCCGAGCAGCAGTGACCAGTGCGAGCCCCATTTTTTCGATTTCCGAGTACCTTTTCTCCGCTCCTTTAAGCATCCTGCTCACATAGTAGATCGGGTACTGCGCCCCATTCCTCTCGCTAAGGAGCACCGTGCTGATGGCCTGCTCCCCTGCTGCCATGTACACATACAATTTCTCCCCGGTCTCTGGCTTTACTAGGAGTGGGAGCTGCGTCAAGGCTACCTTTAATTGCTCGAACGCTTTGTCGGCGGCCTCGTCCCACTCGAACCGATGACTCTTTCGTAAAATCCTAATAAACGGGTGACTGGCATCTGCTACTCGGGAAATGAAACGGCTCAAGGCAGTTATTCTTCCTGCCAATGTCTGTACCTCCTTTATGTTTCTTGGCGGCCTCATGTCCATGACGGCTCGCACTTTTTCGGGGTTGGCCTCAACCCCTCTTGGTGTCACCATATAGCCTAGGAATTTTCCTGTCTGTACTCCGAACGCACATTTAGATGGGTTAAGCTTCATCCCGTACTTGCGCAGCGTGCCGAATGTCTCCCTTAGGTCACTTATATGTGCGTCGACTTCCTTGCTTTTGACAAGCATGTCGTCCACGTAGACCTCCATGTTTTTTCCCAGCTGCTCCCGGAACATCTTATCCACTAGCCTTTGGTATGTTGCTCCCGCGTTCTTTAGTCCAAAAGGCATTACTACATAGCAGTATGTTCCCGTGGAGGTGACAAAACTGACCTTCTCCTGATCCTCTTCCTTTAGACGAATTTGGTGGTACCCCTGGGATGCGTCCATCATGCTTAACATTGCACACCCGGCCGTTGAGTCTACCAACTGATCGATCCTCGGGAGCGGGTAATGATCTTTGGGACAGGCCTGGTTGAGGTCGCGAAAATCTACGCACATTCGCCATGATCCATCTGCCTTCCTGACGAGGACCGCATTTGACAGCCAGGACGGGAATCTCACCTCTCGGATGTGTCCCGCCTCGAGCAACTTTTTAACCTCAGCTTCTATCACCTTGTCCTTCTCGGCACCGAAGTGTCTCCTCTTTTGCTTGACCGGCCGAGCGTCAGGTCTGACATTTAAGCAGTGTTCCGTAACCATGGGGTCAATTCCTCGGAGGTCGCAAGGAGTCCATGCGAACACGTCTTGGTTTTCTTGTAGGAACAACCGTAGTTTCTCCGCGGTATCCGAGTCCATCCGAGTGCCCATCTTTGTTATTCGACTCGGATCCTCCTCGCTCAAATGTACTACTGCCAGCTCCTCCATTGGTTGTATATGCGTCTGCTCCTTTTCTTCAGGGTCTATTCGGGGTCTTTTCTCCTCGGATCTTCCTATATCATCTTCCCGGGGTCTTTCTGCTTTTCCCCAACTTACCGGATTGATGCGTCTGCTCTCTCGCAGGGCGAGGTTATAGCACTTTCTCGCGAGCTCCTGATCACCTCTTACTTCCCCAACCTTGTCCATTACCGGGAATTTCATTTTCATGTGGAAGGTAGACACTATTGCTTCGAAGACGTTCATTGACGGGCGGCCCATTATCATGTTGTAGGTGGACGGAGCGTCAATGATTAGAAACCTAACCGATCGGGTGGCTCGGAGGGGCTCGGTCCCCAGGGATATAGGTAGGGTAACTTCTCCCATTGGCTGCACTACTTCTCCTGCGAAGCCTACCAACGCCGTGTCAACTCGTCGCACCTCTAGGTTCAGACGCATTTGCCTGAAGCAATCGTAGTATATTATGTCCGCTGAGCTTCCCGTATCTACTAATATTCTTGCGACATCATAGTTGGCGACCATGGCCGTGATGACGAGCGCGTCGTTGTGCGGCTGGTGTATACCCGTCTCGTCCTCCACTCCAAACGTGATGGGTGGGGCCAGGGACACCCGATACATCATTGCTAGCTCTCCTCGTAATTCCTGCAGTTCTCGCAGATGGGCTCGCCGAGCCCGGTTTGAATCTCCTCCAGCGGGTCCTCCAAAAATCGTGTGGATGTAGTTGTTAGGAGGTTGAGGAGCCTCACTCTTCCCTGGCTTCTCTGTACCCGGAGGGGGCAACCCGGGCTTCCTGGAACCCTTGGGCGTCGCTTCTCGGCCCTCCCTCACGAACTCTGATAGGTTCTTGTTTCTTATTAGCCTTTCTATCTCGTCACGCAGATGTTGACAGTCGTCAGTGGAGTGGCCGTGATCGTTATGGAAACGGCAGTATGCACCCGATCCTATTGGCTTTTTTGGGACCTCTGAGTATGTCCGTGGCCACTTTAGTCGCGGGTGGTTGGCTATGGCGACCAGGATTTCCGAGGGTGGCGCGTTTAGGGGAGCGTAATTTTCGAACCGCGGCCCTGTGCGCCTCTCGGCAACTCCCTCCCTTCGGGAAAATACCTCCGCGGGCTTCCTTCCGTCTTCTTTGCCCTTCTCCTTTCTTCTTTCTGGTACTCCGGTCATTTCGGAGGCCCGGCTCTGGCGTGCTTCTTCGGCGTTTATGTACTTCTCCGCCCTCCTTAGTAGGTCATTGAATGAGGTCGGAGCCTTTTTTGAAATTGAATCAAAGAATTCCCCCATACGCAGTCCCTGCGCTAATGCATTAATGAGTACCTCCTCGCTAGTCGCGGGTATTTCCAGAGTCGCTGTATTGAACCTCCGTACGTAACTTCGCAACGGCTCATTCTCTCGCTGACGGACAGCGAATAGCGTGAGGGTACTTCTTTTCTGTTTTTTGGAGCTTGCAAAGTGATTCAGAAAGATTTCTCTCAGTTGGGCGAAGCTGTCCACCGAATCCTTCGGGAGTTGGCTGAACCACCTCTGAGCCGGCCCTGCTAGGGTGGTCGCGAACACCAGACATCTCACCCCATCGGCCAGTCGATGCAATGATGCGGTAGTATTAAACCGCGATATGTGCTCCCAGGGGTCCGTTACCCCCGTGTACTCGTATGTAATGGGTCGGAACGTGGCCGGCAGACCACCTCCTTGTATTTTCTTCGTAAAAGGTGTACCCTCGGTTTCATAGTCCTCCTCGGGTACAGGTGTATCCCCTTCCGGGTCAACATGGTGTGGTTCCAGCTGGCCCGGTGGTCCTCGTTTGTAGGGCGCGCTAGTTGTTGGGCTCGGGAGAGGTCCTCCCTTGGACGCGGCGGCTATGAGGACCTGCAAGTGTTCCACCGTAAGGGTTACTGTAGAGGCCTCCGCTCCTCGCAGAGTGCTCGCTTCAGCGGGAGTGGTCCCGGGTCCCGGAGGTTCCGGACTTGATCCCCGCCCTACCGTACCCACAGGGGGGGGGGGTAGCTTCTCGCTCCATCTGATCGGATAAGTCACGAACAATGCCAGACGAGGAGCTCATGTTACTACTTGGAATGAGTCGGATGCTACCGCCTGCTGGCGTAGCTTGGATTGGCTTGCTTTTAGTAAGGATTTCCCACAGACGGCGCCAATTGATCTATCCGAAAACCACCCTGGGTGCCCGGTAGTCCGATTGGAAGTGTTCGGCTTCTGCGTGGGCTACCGACCTGTTGACCTATATCCACAAAAAGGGGCTAACCGGACTAACGCCGGGGTTAGCACTCCGACGGTCAAGTCAGTGATCGGGCACAATGGTTTGGAAAGGTATATAATATAGGTATTGATTTTGGATTCTTACTTGCCCTTGCCTGTTAAGTGTGGGCAATTATTTATAGCACCCCAACCTGGTGTTCCCGGGAAAACCGGGTAGACTACCGAGGTGGCTGCTTTTCCCCTTCCTCGGGCGGCGTCGGACATCATTTCATCGGGGAGGCTAGAGCGGCTCCCTTACGTACCATACGGGCTAGCTTTAATGGGGGGCTTTTCCCTAACGGCGGATCTTTTAGTCATTCAAACATTAAATGCGATTTGACAGGGCCATTAATGCGCCGGAGCCAGCCTACTGAGAGACTGTCAGTTGTCATTAATGTGGTCTTTTCCATCGCCGCTTAAAAGGACCTCGAAAGGGTCCCACGAGTCCTTCGGGAGCTAATCCCCTCGGGGGGTCAAAGCTCTGGAGGAGAAGAATGGGCCTTGACCCATCCTTTATTGGGCCCAACGGTAAGAGGGCCCACAAGATATTCTGATTTGGGCTAAGAAATTCCTTCTTGGGCCTTAGGGATTTCCGTTCCGGATCACAATAGAATCGCGATAATTTTTCATAACATTGTTCAAATAATATTTTTCGTTGGTCCCGATTCAACCCGATTCAACGAAAATATAAATTAATAATTCGTTAAATTCAAAAAGATAATATAAATATTAAAAAAACACATTATGATTAACTTTATAGACTACTTAATTTCTCTATTTCATAACTCTCTAAAATATTTTAATAAAAGTGACAAAAAAAGTCGCCAAAAAAGTCCAATATCTCCCCCACAAAAAAGCCACAAATATCGATCCAATCTAGTTTTATTATATTCTATTCTATCCCCACTCTGAATTTTCTTCCTTCTATTTCAGTTCTTCAAAACCCAATAATCCTGTCCCCGCCCTCCGTTTACTTTTCCCCGCTAATTACGCCCCCCTTCTCTTTCTCTCTCCTCTCTCTCTCTTCTCTCTCACACACACTCACACACACACACACACAGTTCCTTCCTTCCTTATGTCCAAACGACAAGCATTATCAGACAGCAGCACCACCACTTACCATGTCCCTCCTCTCTCTCTTCCTCCTCCTCATTCTCTCTCTCCTCCAATTCTCACTTTCTCTCTCCTATCCCTTCAGTAAGTCCACCACCACCATCACCACCACCTACTCACTCATCTTAACTAACTACTTCCTGTAATAATTTTTCCATTTTCACCTCCTGCTAACTAACTAAACTAACTCAATTCTTGTTTTCTTCTTCTTTTGGCAGATTACAGTTTGCACATTGACTGCGGCGGCCTAGTCAACACCACCGACGCCTTCCACACCACGTGGCTCCCCGACGCATTCTACTCCGGCGGCGCCACCTCCGTCGTCTCCGAGCCCCTCCTGTTCCTGCACCAGCAGGAGAAAACCCTCCGCCACTTCCCCATCTCCTCCGGCAAGAAGAACTGCTACTCCATACCCACCGGCGTCTCCGCCGGCGGCCGCTACTTCCTCCGCACGTTCACCGTCTACGACAACTTCGACGGCAAGTCCCACTCCCCTTCCTTCGACGTCTCCGTCGAGGGCACAATAGTCTTTTCCTGGAGATCCCCTTGGACCGAATCCGTAGCCCGCTCCGGCGCTTATTCGGATCTCTTCTTCCACCACAACGAACCCATCGTCGACGTTTGCTTCTACAGCATCGCCACCGATTCTCCGGTCATCGGCTCTCTCCAGTTGACCCAAATCGAACCCAATGCCTACCAATTCGAGTACGCCAAGAACTCCAGCAACTACATCCTCGTTAACTACGGCAGATTTTCATCCGGGTCGGATCAATGGGGACCCGGATTCACAGACGACACCGATTTTTTCAGCCGGTCCTGGCAATCCGATGCCGAATTCCGGCTGACATCCGTTTCGATTGCTAACGGCGCAACAATCAAACCAATCTCCGCCGGAAAACCAATAGCTAATGTCGAAAAAAGCCCTAATTACTTCCCCGAAAAGCTTTACCGGACAGCAATTACAGCGGAAGGAAACGGGGGTGGGATTCTCGAATACGAATTGCCCGTGGATGCAAAGATGGATTACTTGCTGTGGTTCCACTTTGCGGAAATCGACGCGGGCGTGTCCAAAATCGGACAGAGGGTGTTCGATGTAACGGTGAACGGTGAAAATGTGAGCAGGGTTGATGTTTTTAAGGAGGTTGGCGGTTTCGCGGCGTACGATTGGAGCTACGTTGTCAAGAATTTGAGCAGCACCACTTTGAATGTGAGGCTCGAGTCCGTAGTCGGGGCGCCGATTATTTGTGGGCTCGAGAATTACGCAATCGTCCCCGTCGATCTCAAGACTATTCCCGATCAGGGTAAAATTTAGAAAGATTATTATTAATTTATCAAATGTTTGAATTATTATGAAATCGTATAAATGGAATTGATAATTGTGTACGTATGCGCAGTGATTGCAATGAAAGCATTGAAGGAATCGCTTCGTGTGCCCGATAGAATGGGGTGGAACGGAGATCCGTGCGCACCTACAAATTGGGACGCTTGGGAGGGTGTTACTTGTCACCCCACAAAGGACGAAACTGCCCTCGTCGTCTCCCAAATGTAATAATTCTTGCGCAACTCGAATTTTTCCTTTTTCGTCTGAGATTGATTGATTGATCGATTGTTATGTAATAATTTTTTTCCGTCTGTGTTGAATTTAGTGATCTTGGGAGCCAGGGTTTGAAAGGTTATATCAGTGATAAAATCGTGCTTTTGACGAATTTGGTAAGCTTGTAAGTATCTGCTGTTATCTTGTACTTATTTAGTTTACGTTTCTTTTATTGATCAATCGATGAACTAACTTTACGTAATCGTAAATTTTCTGAATTAGGATGATAAGTAATCTGTAAGAAAAAAATGTTTTGGTGTGCAGGAACTTGAGTTCCAATTCATTGGGAGGTAATATACCGTCGGGGTTGGGTCAAAACTCGCTCGTCAAGCTGTAAGATTACACAACTCATGCCGTGTACGATTCATTTTTTCTGATCGCTGAAAACGAGCATCTAAAAAACTACAAACTGAACATTTGTGAATTTTTTTTCCCCGGTGTGTTGATGCAGGGATTTATCAAACAACAAGTTTACCGGGTATATACCCGATAGTCTAACGTCATCCAGCTTGCAGCTTGTGTAAGTTGCGATATATATATATATATATATATATATATATATATATATTTCTTTTATAAATTAATTAAAGTAACTTTTATCTTTTAATATTTGCTTAGTCGTGTTACTTATGCGCAGGTTATTGAACGGCAACTTATTGGAAGGGCAAGTTCCGGAGGATATTTATTCGATTGGGGTTCGCGGTGGAGCTATAGAGTATGTCGTCATGCCTTTTATTTACTTTTTTCATCATTAATTTTAATTGCATATTATCAATTATGGTCAATTGTAATTGTTTAATTTTCCACAAAATAATGAAAAAAAATATAAACGAAGTTCCTACTATTGCAATTTTGCAGCCTATCGGGTAATAAAGGATTGTGTGGTGTACCTTCACTGCCGAATTGTTCGCTGCTTTGGGGGGAAAATGGATTATCGAAGGGGGCCAAAGTAGGAATAGGTGTCGCATCTCTCGTTATTCTCTCTGCACTTATAACCGGAATATACTTTTGCCTTAAATGGAAGCATCGAAACGATTACGACTTTGGTTTACCTCACGAACTAACTGGTAAGTTCATTTCCAGTTTACTTCATTTTTTTTTTTTTTTTTTTGGTTCAATTATTTAAAAAAAAAATATTTTGTTGTATGTTTGTTTCGTGCGTATAAAGCTCTTGCTGCAAAGAGAAATCGATATCACCGGCAGAAATCGCTTATGGATCTTGAAATGGAGAGACAACATGCCAAAGGGTTTATACCAACTTACAACGTTAGCTGATTGTAAAGAGAAGAAGCATTAATTTTTTTTGATATAGAGTTTTGTTTTGTGTTATTGGAAAACCACATTATTTGTAATGTGCAGTGTGTTTTGTGATACAAGTTTTTATTTATTTTGTAAAAAAAATTATAATTATACCCTTAGATAATTGAGATGGCAGTTATGAGATAGATAATACAAATGTTTGGAAAACAAAAAAATGTTCCTTGGTGAATGATCGTTGGGCAAGTGAGTTTGTGGCAAATGATCGATGTTCGAATCCCTTTGGTTTATGTCTCTCATATGCTTTGCAAGCTGTTATACGAGAGTGTAGGTTTACCCAATACATCTATATGGTTGGTTATGAATTCTTTCATTACCAAAAAAGCGACAATCTAAAAAAAATGGTCAAAACTCTTTCGAGTTCTTTCATTACCAAAAAATAAAAATTTAAAAAAAATGGCCAAAAGTCTTTCGGGTTCTTTCATTACCAAAAAAGAAAATCTAAAAAAATTGGCCAAAACCCTTTCGAGTTCTTTCATTACCAAGAAAGAAAATTTAAAAAAATTGGCCAAAACTCTCTAATAAATAAGGGATAATTAACAAGAACCCCCTCATCTAGGTAAATGAGTTAAGAAAATACCCCATCCCAAAAATAATTAAAGAAAACCCCCTATCTAATATTCCACCCAAGTGATATTTTCATAATTTCAAAATTATCCTTAATTGTCTACTATACTCTTTCAAACCCTAATCTTATTTTCTCTTCTCTCCCGTCTCTTCTTCTCCCGTCTATTATCTGTTTTTTTTCTCTCTATATTATACTTTTATCTCTCAATTCTTTACATTATTCTCTCTTGATCGGAAGATGAAGAACCAACCAGAACAACGATGCTAATTCCGTTGAAGCCATTGTCGTCGGTGCCGTCGCCGTCGAAGTCGGGGTCGGGGTCGTCGTCGGCAGATCTTAACAAAAGCCATAAATTGTCGATTTGTCACCGAAATCGGATTTTGATGGGTGGTGGTTCTGCTTTGGTTGGTGGTGCGAGTTGTGATTTTATTTATTTATTTGTAATAAAAAAAACCATCATAATAACAAAGTAAGGTGATGATGGTGTGTTGTGACGGCGGTGTGGTGACGATGGGGAGGCAGATTTATGGTTTTTTGGTGGATTGGACGGATGAAGGCGCGTGTAGAGAATTTCGCGCAGGCTGAAACCTTAATCGACTATGTACATGTTCATAGTCGATTAAGCTAATCGACTATGCTCTGGTAGTCGATTAAGGTTCATCGACTCCAATTTTTTTATTTTTTTTGGATTTTTTGTTTATTGCTTCCAATTGTATAAATCATTTATAATATTTGTATATTTTTTGTTTTTGTAATATATAGTTGATTTTGTATTTTTTTCGCAGTTGTGATTTGTTACTTTTAGTAGCAGATTCTTAATCGACTATGCTTCACATCATAGTCGATTAATATACCTGATATAAAAAAAAATTAAAAAACAAAAAAAAATAAAAAAATTAAATAATTTTCTTAATCGACTATGAAGCATAGTCGATTAAGGAAACTGAAACAAAAAAGACGGGAAAAAAACAGAAAAAAAAAAAAAATCGCTGAGCGCGTGACCCAGTGGTGATGTGGCGGGCGGGGGCAAAGCTAGAAAACATAATGACTGAAACTGGATGTGGGCTTTTCTCAAATGAACTAAAATATTTTGGGCCTCCCTCCATTAAAAAAAGCAGTGAGGGGTTTTCCCAAAGAGCCCAATAAATAATCCTTATCCTAATATTTAGTTACACTTTCGTACTTGTTTCTATTCCCTCATTTTCATCATTGACCCCTATTTTCCATCTCTTTATAGTAGTTCATTTGTGGATAATTCTGATGGATTTTTTTTATTGGAGGTAAATTTTTTATTTTTTTTTACTATTATTATTATTACTGATAAATTATAAAAGAAATAAGTAAATATTAGAAATCAACATAATATCGGCTGATAGATAATTTTGAGACGAGATATTATGGACTTAAAGCCCAAAGTTCAAAGGCCCATATTCCATAACAAACTGAAAGGAGTTTTCACTTGAAATTTTGTTCCACTATTTTTTTTTAAATCAAATTATTTTTCTTAAGTTTTGCAATATAAACTCCAAAATGTCTGGAAAAAAACATCACTTGATTTTCTCTTTCGCTCACACGTGAGTTGACTGCTATCGTAAAAATTATATTTTCGCTCAAATATGATTTGACTGTTACAGTTACATTTATACTTTTTGTAACTTGCAAATATCACTTTATTTTTCATATTATTCTTTTTCGAAATATATTTCTCCCATCACATTTAAACATAATTTTACTAGTGCGATGTAAATTGTGTGTTCTCAAAATACAAACAAATATTACTTTTTTCCCCCTCAAATGCAGTCCCCACAATTATACATGAACCTTGTAGCAAGACTTTTATACCAATCAATCAAAGCTCTTGAAATCAGGATACAGTTATGGATATATTTGAATAAATAAAAATGAAGATACTATTGTATAAATTAGAATAAAAATAGTGGAATTAATTAATATTTGGAAAGTAGAATTAAAATTTGATGAACATGCATAAATAAATAAATATAGAGTAGCGCGTGGTCCCACTGCTTTATTATTGCACGGTCTACTTCACTTTGAATCCTTATCTCAATACCATGGACAAAAAATCATTATGAATCCACTGTTTTGCAATTTGGATATCAAGGCATCATTATGTATTGAATTTCTGAGTTAATTAATATATACAATTACACGTCTACCAATGTGTATATATATATATATATATATATATATATATATATATATATATATATAAATTAATGTATAGTTTGTAAAAGACTTGGTTCATGTTAGTTCATCAGTATGTGTATTGATAATATATTTATCCACCTTAATCTACATATATACAATATATATGTATGCTGATTGTAATTATGTGTAACTATGTGGTGTAATATTAATTACTTGTTGTATTTCACATATATTATTATCTACCATAATGAATTCAAAAAAAAAAACAAAAAAAAATTAAAAATTGAAGACAACGAGAAAATATAGCCTACGACGTCAACCACAAATTTTCTTTTATTTAATAATTATTTAAACTAGGAGTGGTGGTTTTTTTGTGATTTTCAGACGTAGAACAAAGGGTGTTAAGGTCAAATATCTGAAAACTAACCGCGATAGCCACATTGAGACAAATTTTCAAGTACAGGGATAAATTGATGCAATCAAAAGTAGAAGGGGTTAAAGTGATATTTAGCCAAAGTATAAGGGGAAAAAGTAGAATTTACACCTAATTTTATTGAAGTCTATTGCATTCGATAGCCTTATGTTTCCTCTTATGATGACTTTCAGATGTTTCCGTAAAAGCAATAAAACGACGTCATATTTCGTTACACGTGGGATGATATTTACACTAATAAAATTAACCAGGCTGTCACTCACAAATTAATTATAAATAATTAATAAATTATGCCCTCTGACCGGTAGGCCTAATCAGAAATAACGAAACCCTAATTATAAAATGCAAAACAATCTTTGCATGTGGGGCTTTTTTTATTTTACTAATATTATACTTTGTTGGTTAAGCATGCAATTAATAGTAATTTTAAGCACATTGCTTGATTTATTATTACAAATGAAGTGACTTAAACAGAGCCACGTAGATGTTTAGGCAGCCACATAAGATTATATTATTAAATTTAGAGACCCAATTTATTTTAGGGTTAATATGCTATGAGCCCCTCAAACGAAACCTAATTTGAACTAAATGACAAGTTCAAATTCATTTTTTTAATTAAATCCTTAATTTGAAATAATATATGAGCCACATCCCTAATATTTTTTTAATCCCTATCTTGCCCTTATACCCTAAATTATATAACCTACATATTCTCGTTTCTCCAATTCAGATTTATTTCGTTCTTTTGGTTTCTCTCACGTTCTCTCTCTCTCCATCCCTCTCTCACACGTTCTCTAATCTGTTTTCCAATCTCTGTTTTTTTTCTCCATCTCTCTCTCACCTCTCTATCTCCATACCTCTCTCTTGTTAATTAATTTGGTAATAGTCGAACCCAAGGGTTGTGGTGGGTGAAGAGGCGGCTGCGGGGGCTGTGGTGAAGGAGGCGGTGGCGGCGGGCTGTGTTTTGAGATGGTGGCGAGGTGTTGTGGGCGGCGGCGGGGGCTGGGGTGGAGGAGGTGGCGGTGACGGGCTGTGTTTTGAGATGGTGGCGAGGTGTTGTGGACGGCGGCGGGGGCTGGGGTGGAGGAGGCTGCGACGGGGGGCTGGGATGGGGGAGGCGGCGGCGGCCTGTGGTGGTTGATATGGCGGCTAGGTGTTGTGGGCGGTT